CCTCGTCCACGGCCTCGTCCACGGCCTCGGCCGCGGCCACGTCCGCGATGGCCTCCATGCTCGTAGTGGGAACCTGCATACTCGTCAGAGGCCCCTGGCCCCCGACGATCCGCTCCCCCATAGGCCGCTGATCCATAACCACTGTTGCTGGTGCCTCCAAAGCCGCCATAACCGCCGCCGAAGCCTCCACCTTGGCTGTAGTCGACGTAGCTGTAGCTCGAACCCTCGCTCATGTTGGCTAGTCTGCTTCAAAACGACCTCCTGCGCTCCTGCTGGGTTCAAGTCGCCTGTCAATCCGGGCAAAGCAACCACTTGGCACACTTCCTCCCTGCGTCGTCTCCTCGTGTGACGTTCAGTCGGATACGATGAAAGAAAGAGAGAGAGAGAGTTTGAGAGTTTGAGAGAGTTTGAGAGTTTGAGAGAGAGTTTGAGAGAGAGTTTAAGAGAGAGAGTTTGAGAGAGAGTCTGAGAGAGAGAAGTTGAGAGAGAGAGACTGAGAGAGAGAAGTTGAGAGAGAGTTGAGAGAGAGAGTTGAGAGAGAGTTTGAGAGAGAGAGAGAAACTACTGACAGTTACGAAACGAGTTTAGGTGCGTGTGTGTGTGTGTGTGTGTGTGTGTGTGTGTGTGTGGCTCCTCAATCATGGGTCTGGGCGGCAAGTGTTTGAGCCGGGCTCGTGCCTATGCTGACGGAAGGATGTGTGTTGGGTAGGCAACGGACGCAATGGCAGCAGTGGTTGCGCGTGTGCGCGCGGAGGTCAAGGCCGCCATGAGCGAGGCAGAGGGGTCACACGACTTTCACCACGTGCATCGAGTCCATGCGGTTGGTCATTGAAAGCTCTCTAGGCATGGGATGGGGAAGGGGCCGCACGCTTGGCTCATCTGATTCTTGACGGGTGTCTTCGTGTGGGCATAGGCGACCCGAACCATCGCGCAGAGCGAAGGCTTGGGTGAACATGGTACGAGCAGCTTTCGAGCATGGTGCATATGAGGGGTGAGGGAAGACGCTTGATTCTTGCTCAAGGTGACTTTGCAATGCCGGGGTTGTAGATATGCTGCTGGCAGAATTGGCGGCTTGGCTGCATGACGTGGCCGACTACAAGCTGACGGGGCATGACGATGCACGCCCTGCTGTCCTCGACCTCTGCCGCCGCTGCGAGGTTACCGAGGATGTAGCTCAGGCCGTGGCGGAAATTGTGCAGCGCGTATCGTGGCACTCTAGCCTGGAGCAAGACTCAACGGAGGTTGGTGGCCCAACCCACTGGTCGTCCTGCCCTGCCCAGCTCACGCTGCCATGCTCATTTGACGGGCCGTGCTGCTTTGTTTCTGCAGTTTGTTCACAACCACATTCTGCGTTGCGTGCAAGATGCCGATCGCCTCGACGCCATTGGTGCCATTGGCATTGCTCGGTACGACAAAGGCCGATGCACGTTGAGAGCCTTTCTGTTGCCGTTGGAGGCCTTTCTGTTGCCGTTGGGGGCCTTTCCGTTGGGTTGTGAGACGCCATTCAACTCGCTCAGGATGACATGGGATGGAATGGTGGTAGGACATTTGCGTACGGTGGTAGCAAGGGACGGGCCTTGTACGATCCCGAAGCACACCCACCGCGCAAACTGACGGATGTGATTGACAAGGAAACCTACATGAAAGAGTCTACCCCGACCATCAACCATTTTTATGATAAGCTGCTGCGCTTACGCAGCACCTTTCATACTCCGAAAGCGCAGGCCATGGCACAGCAGCGGTTGGTGGCAATGTTTTTGCTTGCTTGCCAGCTGCCTGCCTGCCCGGGATCGAACCCGGGTTCAAGTCGTCGCGGCCCACGCTCACCTGTATGAACTCGAATCCTTGCTAGACACGACTTTATGCTGGCCTTCCTGGACCAGTTTTACCACGAGTGGAACGGCGAAGCCGTTGAAGAAAGTCAGCCTTGAGGCCAATTCAAACCCGGTCTTCGTCCAGATGCCAGCCCATGTAACGACGATTAGCCCCATCTCCTGCCCGAACATGTCTCGATCAGACCCAACAGCGCAGGCGTGGCATGATGCCAAGCTTAACGCCGCCTCATCTACCAGTCGGCCCCCACAAAACATCACTTTCCTATCTCTCTTTGATCCTTTGAAGACTGAAACAAGGGGAGCAGAGACAAGGGGAGCAGACACAGGGGAACAGAGACAAGAGAACAGAGACAGAGGGACCAGCGACAGGGGGAGGAGCCCAGCGACAGGGATGGCAAGTCACAGAAAGAGATGAATTACATACCTGTAGTCAATTGTATCAAAGCAAACTTGAATCTTATGAAGCAGAATTCAAAAAGAGTCCTGTCACTCTATTTTCCCTCTCTCTCTCTCTTCCCTCTCTTCCAAGTCCTTCTGAAAAGGGGGTTTCTCTCTGTCTGTCTGTCTGTCTGTCTGTCTGTCTGTCTGTCTGTCTGTCTGTCTTGTCTGTCTGTCTGTCTGTCTGTCTGTCTGTCTGTCTGTCTCTCTCTCTCTCTCTCTCTCTCTCTCTCTCTCTCTCGCTCTGTCTCTGTCTCTGTCTCTCTCTTTCTCTGTGTCCGTTTGCGGCGCTAATACTCAGGGGGCGGTTCGGCGGCGCGGATGGCATTTGTTTGGATGATGGCTTTTTGATTGGGTATGGGTCTGGTGATGTATCGTTGGCGTTGAGGGTTTGGGTGCAAGGCGTGATTGCGGTGATTGTGCCTGCCTGTATCGTATCATGGGGCGATCCGGGTTTGGGCTGGCTTGGCTGGCCCTTGTGCTGTTGGCCCAAGGCACCGTTGCCATCATGTGCGGGGACCGCGAGTGCCGGAACTGTGACACGCGCTTGCTCGAATACGAATTGCTGGGGGAACTCACCTCATGCTCAGCCTCAGCCCAGCCTCGATTTGCCACGGGCGCTACCTGCAATTTCGATTGCAGTGGCACCAGCGTGGTCATGAGGACCATGGTCTGCCACGATGGCTTTTGGCTCTGGCCTCAAACCAACATCAGTGCCAACTACATGTGCCCTTCGTACCTTGCGGCTGGCTGTCACTATGACCCCATGGCGACGGACGGCGTTCGCTTCAGCTGCAACCGCTGTGGGCGCGAGATCGAATTGACACCCCTGGACACCACGCCCTTGATCATCTCAGCCGACGTACAACATCTGGAGATCACCTGCCACCATCTGGCTGCTTTACCAATGGAGCCCTTTCGCAACATGCGGTTCCTCGAGACTTTGAACTTGAGCCACAACGCCATTTCGTTTACCACCAAACGTTTCCTCGATACGACCTTTCGCTTGACCAGCATGGATCTCCACGACAACAAACTCTCCCTGCTCGATTGGGATGACACACCCAGCATCATGCCCAACTTCACCTTTTTAGACCTCAGTGAGAATAACTTGCAGCAGGTCAGCTGGTGGGCCTTTCGTGGCACGTTTTCACCGTCTTGCTCCGTTGACCTTCCAGAACTCCGCTTTAGCAATGCCAGCAACGGCTGTCACTGCGCCCTGCAGCCCCTATACACAACAAATGGTCTTGGCCAGCCAGACTGCGGTCGGGTGGTGTGTACCGACGCTTGTCGCAACCCGGCCGAGATAGACCCGGCTACTGAGACCGTCTCTTGCACCTCCTATGTGCCGGCTGCAAGGCCCGGCGCTTCCCGTGGCCTGACCACCTTGCCCAGTATGAACATGCTCTGCGACGGCCACACAGATTGTTTCAATGGCTTTGATGAGGACATCTGTGGCATCTACATGACTGATGCAACCAGCGACACTTTGCTGAAGGCGCTGATAGCTCGCTGTCATGGCTCAGTCCTCCACCTCATCCTCCTTCGGGGCGTGGTCGTACTTCGCCCTGATCCATACGAGCCGTTTCCGAACAATACTTGCTTGGGCAACACGCGATCAACTCGAGATCAGTTGGTGCTCCGCATCACCGACAATGGCGCTATCACCGCAGTGGATGGCGAAGACAGCGATGTCGATTACTCCTTTTCTGTTCTCAACTACACCGCCGCCCGTGTCTCGGGCGTGGCTCTTGGCGGGAACAACATCTCGGCCATTTTTGAGATTGTCAACGGCTTCCCCGACTGGGACGCCCAAGCTTCCACCGCTGACCCCAAAACGGAACCAAGTGGCAACACTAGCACCGCTGCCCCTGTGGCCTTGGTTCAACCCTCCAGGTCTCCCGTCCTGGTGGCCGTGATTGTCGCCGTTGTCGGAGTCCTTTTGTTGCTGGTTGGTGCCGTCACCTGGCGAGTGCGGCGCCAACAAAGGCGTCGGTTGAGTCACGAACAACAGCTCCGACCTCTGATGGACGAACTGACACTGGAGCTGACCCAGAGCGAATCCTGGGTCAGGTCGGGCGAGGCTGCTTCGGAACCGCGCGCAAACACGGCCAGTTTGTTGATCCCCTCGTACGTCCGCTTCGCCACAATACTTCCTGTAGCCCAGCCGTTGGTCAAGCCTCTTTGATCTTGCTTTTTTTTTTTTTTTTTTTTGATGATGAAAACATTGCATCTCCCCGCCCTGTGCCATGCACTAACATGCACACGGGCTCTCTGATTAATTTCTGGTCCCAGGACTGACGTTGTTCTCGAGGAGGAGCTGGGTCGTGGCCAATTCTCCAGGGTGTATCAGGTTGGTTTCGTGGCCTTATTCAGCGCAGCAAACCTTGCCCCCCCGGCAACCCCCCCTCCCCTCTTTTGCTCCTTTTGTGAGGCGGTCACGTCGGGTGCAACCATGAGTTCGTGGATGACCCTTTCGGAGCCCGTGCTACACCCTTTTTATTTGCTTCTGTGTCCCTCGCACGCATCGATGCAGGGGCGCCTCAAGAGTCGAGCGCTACCAGTCGCGGTCAAAGTGCTTCAAGAGCAGGAAGCAGTAAGCACGGGCATTAGCTTTTGATTGGGCGAATCTTAAGCTTTCCTGCCCAATATCACGACTAGCGTTGTCTCCTACCCCTCATCTTTTGTGGTGACTGGGTGGCGGCTCATTGTGTATTAGGCGGGAATGCGAGCTGTTCTTTATGAGGCAGTGCTCTTGTCGCAGCTGCACCATCCTCACATCGTACAAATGCATGGGGTGACGGCATTGCCCGAGGGCATGGCCATCATCCTGGAGTTGGCTGCTAATGGAAATTTGCGAGAACTGCTTCGGCATGATGGCGCGACCAGTGCTTCGTGGGGGCTTCGGCAACGGCTGCAATGGCTGGACCAGGTATTGCACCGAGAGCTCTGCTGTCGCTGCTTGTGGAAAAGCCATCGAGTTTGGGCTGTCTCACTTTGGTGTGCTCAATCAACCCATCCCAGGTGGCGCAAGCGCTGGCGTTTATTCACGCGCGTCGCATCGTGCATCGTGACCTGGCCAGCCGGAATGTTTTACTCACGCCCATGATGCTATGCAAGCTTGCTGATTTCGGCCGTACGTGTCACATGCCTTGAACTGTGCGCTTTAAGTCTGTGCACACGAGGTCGTTGGGTGCTTTCATACTGCCAAGCGCGGGTGCTACTGGCATGGTGAGCGGCTCATGGCTTTCCCTTGTGGCACGGGGCGACGATGGCGATGCAGTGAGCCGTGCGCTGCAAAATGCACAGGAATATTATCGGCCTAGTCAGGATGACCACGTCCCCTTCCGGTAGGGCCCCGTTCTGCCCCTCGTGCGCGCTGCCGGCTCACAAACAGATGGCCTGTTGGGGCTCTGCTGTGGTCTGCCTGTCGGAACGCCAGGTGGATGAGTCCAGAAACGTTGGTCGGTGGTGCAGCCACCATGGCGAGCGATGTTTGGTGCGTGGTTCCTTGCCTGCCAACGCGATCAAGACTCGTGGAGAAACACCCTATGGGGCATGCGCTGGCCGGCCTTCCATTATTAAAACACCCCTGCCCCTCCTTGGGTGAACGACCTTTAGGGCATTTGGCGTGGTGTGCTACGAGGTGATCACGGGACTGGTGCCGTATGCGGGGCTGGACATGCCCAAAGTGGTGGCTTTGCTAAAGAACGAGGGGCGCTTGGCCCTTCCAGCCGGTACCCCGCCAGGTCTCGAGCGGTCAGTTTGAACGCAACGCAATGCTGGTCGCCCACACGCATGCAGCTCACGACTTTTGCTTGCTCTGACTAGCTTGGTGGCGGCCTGCTGGCAGACCAGCCCGGACGTGCGGCCAACCGCGGCCGCTCTGAGCCCGGCGCTGAGTGCCATTGCTACTGCACTTTCCGTGCCGCTTGCGGACGTCAACCCAGCCTTGCAGGAGGAGACTCGAATTTGATGATAATCATAATTTTATTATTACAACTACTTCTCTGACTGTGCCTTCCATGTGATGCCAATCGAGGAACGAAGCTTCCCACCTGGCCTTTTCTTACTTGACATGTGAGTAGCCAGGCGCCGGTCGAGTAAAACCAGCGCACAGACGCACCTGGCTCTGGTGAGAGAACACGAAATGGGCATAGCAAGTCGTCGAAGAAGAAGAAGGCAAGGCGTGTCAAAGATCAAACCTTGTTTCACCTGCATCCATCAAGGCTGCCCCACGAGGGGGATTAAGGGTCAAAATCTCATTCTGTCCATCTCCTTGCACCACCCCCACGACATGCGCATGTTCTCAGTCGACTTCCCACCCACGACCCGGCCCGCCACACCCCCGTCTGTGCATGCGCAACTCTCTTTGTGATACTACCTACCTACACGGGCGGTGCACTTTTATCATCCAACGCACTTTTGTCCATGTAGCATGCATGCACGCACATTCTGTTCGGGTCGTCGGACCGACGCGTCGTGTTGCAGAGTTAAGAGACCAGCGGGAGGATCGTAAAACAAGTCCATGGCCCCCCTAAACACCCCCAAGCGCCGACCATTGTGGCTGAGGAACGGGGACATGGTAGCAGTGATGGGCAGGCTCAGCGGCAACCCTGCAACCTTTTTGCCAGCTACCTGGCACCAGCGCGCCCTTGCCTCATCAAACGGAGTTTTTGCGCAGCGACCAAGTCTGTCTTTGTCCAGATCCAAACACAGCCCGACACTCCTCTCCTGAACTCTCTTTAAATCCTCTTGGGGACCCTGACCCTCCTCACTCAAGGTGGCTGGCACCTTGCACACATGTAATTATCCAAGACACAGTGTTCGCCTTACAAAAGTGGGTTTGGTATTTTTGCCAGCACGCTCGACGACACACTCTTGCACCAGCCACCAAGCCCTAGGCGCAATACTTTTTTGGCAGTCAGGTGAATTTACAGTGCTACCCATCGCCACCTACAGGCGCGCATAAAACGAGGTTTTGCCCTCTCCCAGTGCTGCCGCCGGCTGCCAACGAGCTCAGACCCCACCGCAGTTTTTGTCGAGTAGCCCGCCAACCCCCGGGTCGCACACAAGCAAACCGCAGTTGCTCATGCTCTGCCGTCGTCTGCTTGCGTGAAAGATCAACTCGGCTCTTCGAGCGCACAGAGGTGAGCGCACCAAAAAGCCGAAGAGAAGTATTGCCCCGACCGTGAAAGAGACATACACACAGCAGACTGAACTCATTGCGACCCTGATTCCGTGATTGCAGGCACCCCGGACCGTTGTCTGTCGCCAAGCGTCAGCGTGTTGGAGCGAAGGAAAAAGAAAACACACACTCACACAATAGTTATCCATCAGCACGGCCATCACTTTGGCCACTGCCATGGCCGTGCCGCAACCGCTGCGGCTGGCACTGAGCTTTGCCTTGCTCTGGTGCTTCGCACGGGCCCAAGGTGAGTCCTCGGCACTCGCGCTGGTGTCGTGCCCACCACACAGGTTCTCCCCCTGGGGCATTGCAGTCAAACTCCCTCACTCACGTTGGCGTGTGGTCGCTGATGTGGGTCAACAGGGTCGCTGACTTTTAGTGCCCTCGACCTCAACACGGGCATCTTGCAGCTAAGCTTTGACACGGACGTGCTGGCCAGCTCGACCGATGTGACCCAGCTGCGTCTGCATCCCTCAAGCACGAGTCCAGATGACGAGGCCTTTGTGGGTCAGAACCAGTTGATTGGCCCTCTGACACAAATCTCATCCGGCAACAACCTCTACTGTATTCTCTCTGCCACAGGCCTCCTACGTCTGAAGCTCCGGCCCACCCTGGCCGTCAACGACAGCTCGACTCTCATCGAAGTTCGCTCAGGCCTGGTTCAGACTCTGGGCGGCCAGGCCGCGAGTGGCACGGATGGCCAGCGCCGCCCCTTCGACGAGTTTGAACCCGATGCTTATCCGCCCACAGCTTTGGATGTCACCATCGCCGATGGACTCGTGGGTGGTGCGCTGATGGTCACCCTCACGCTCAACGAGCCCCTCAGCGCACCTCCCGCCTTGCTGCTGGAAGACCCGAGTAACTCCAGTCTTGGCCTGACCTTGGCAATTACGGGTCAACCAACTCAACGCATCACCGAGAACGATCGTGTTGCTTGGCAGGCGGCGCTGGCCGATCCGACCATCGTGCGACAAGCCCTGCGTGCGCGTCGCACCGCCAACGGCGATACCACCCCCTTGACTACCGTGCAGGTGCTTCCAGGAACCCTGACGGACCGCGCTGGCAACACGCGACCCCAGGGTCAAACACTGCCAGCCCGCGCCGCCTCAGTTGACATTGATGGGCCACGCCTTTTAACGGCACAATTGGCCTTTGCCTCAAAGTCTTTGGACCTTCTATTCTCCGAACCTGTGCAAGCCAGTTCTGTCCAGCTCGATCGCGCGGTGATCAAACTGGTCAACAACAGCACCTTTGCCCTGGGCCCTCTCGTTGAAGACATTGCGGCTGGGGACGCCCTCCTCATTCTCAGCCTGACCGATGCAGCCTTTGCCCTCTTGCAAGCGGATTACACACGAACGCAAACGCCTGCACAGCTTAACCTCACCGCCGGCTTTGTGCGGGACACTGTTGGCCTTGTTTTTGATCCCAGCGCTGATCCAGCGCCCGGGGGAGAGATGCCAACCCCCTTTCGCCTCGCCAACCTGGTACCCGTGGCTGATAGCTCAGCCCCCATTCTTGTGCGAGACAGCGGCGTCCTCGATTTCACTCAAGGTACCCTGAGTCTGACAACGTCTCAGCCGCTTGTGCTGGCTTCTATCGACCCGTCAGCGCTATTAGTGCGCCTGGTTAGCACTGACGTTGTGGATGTACCCGTGGCCATCAGTGCCGTCAACTATACCAATGCCGAGGCCACTGCACTGGCACTGCGGCTTACCAACAGCACGCTGCACGCTCTGCAGCTTGCACGCCTCCGCCTCAACAACCCTGCCTGGCAGCTTGTTATTAACAGCGTCCTCGGCACGGACGTTTTTGGAACAGCCACGCCTGGCACTGTCCTGGCCTTGAATGTGGTACCGGACGCGGTCGAGCCCGTGTTCACGGCCAGCCGTCTGCTGCAAAGCGCCTCGGGCCTGGTTCTTGAGCTCACCAGCAGCGAGCCTACGCTCTTTACGGTCACGGAAGCCCCCCTTGCCTTTGTGCTCAACGGGGTCACCATTCCCGCGACGGGCCGCCTACTTGCCCTATCTGGCGCCAACGGGAGCAGCACCAGGTTTGAGCTCAACGTCACTGCCAGTGCCGCTGCGCTGCGCAGCCAGGTCTACGCCAATGCCTCGGCCCTCGTTGCCCTGGTGCTCTCCATGCAAGAGGGCCTTAGCATTGATGCCTTTGGCAACGGCAACGCTCCGGTCGATAAGCTGCCCGTTGATGCATCTGAGGTGGATCTACAGGGACCCGCCCTGACAAGTGTGCTTCTCGACGTGCCGCTCGAGCGTCTCTCTCTGACCTTTGATGAGGCCGTTCGGGCTGACCAGCAGACCGCCAACATTCTAGAGCTAACCCTGACGTTTGGCTCGGATGGCGTGACGGAGATGCTCCAGCTTCTTGGCCGCGATTTGACTTTCGATCAGGCGACACGCGGTGTCTTTGTGCCCTTGCCTGCATCGCTTGCGCAGCTTCTCGCTCGCCGTGCCATGAACGCCTCTGTAGCCCCAGATCTGACACTGACGGGTGTGGTGGGCAGCGATGTTTGGGGCAATCCCACTCCACCCACGTTGGAGAGCAGTCGCGTCCCGCTGCTGCTGGATAGTACACCACCAACTGTACTCAATGCCACCTATGACCCCTCGGCTGGCCTCGTGCGCATCACGTTTAGTGAGGATGTTATGGTCAATGGCGCCTCCAACGCATCCCTGGCCAGCACAATCGCCTTGCAGACGAGTGCAGATACGACGCGTACCACGGCAACTCGCCGTCGTCGTGCCTCGGACCTGCCCCCCGTGTACTATCGCTTGCAGAACGCCACCGCAGCAATTGTGGATGGCCGCATTCTCGAGGCCCAGTTGGGTCCGGATGACCGCGCATTGTTGGCCAACGTGCCTGCCTTCGGTGGGGCTCAGGGTCAAAGCGCTTTCGTCTCTGTGGCGGGACCAATCCTTGATGCCTTTGGCAACGAGTTTGCTGGTCTTCCTCGAAGCAGCGCAGTGGCCGCGTCAAACCCCAATGCAGCGACACCTAGCGCTACCACACAAGCACCGGGTGCCAGTAGTGCCTCGGATGACGACTTGAGTACAGCATGGATTGTTGGTCCGTCCTCGTCTCATTCACACCCTTTTTGGCAACTTCGTATTATGAATGTCTATGTAACTCATGATTGATGTCTGCGTCCTGCCATTTGCTTCCGCAGCCATTGCACTTGGCAGTGCTTTATTTCTGCTGCTTTGTGCACTCGGACTTTGCCTTTGCTGCCGGTCCGTTTGCGCATCATCATTTGATCGTCCCTTGAGCCAATCTGAAGCGGGCCTTTGCCAGCTTTACTCTCGTCCCGATATCGCTCTTGGCTGTCTGTTCTTAAGCTCACTGTGTGTGTCCGCCCGCGCCTCAGAAACCGCGATTCTAAAGAGTATTACGGCCGAAAATTGGAACGCACCGGCTCTGTGCGCGTTCTACCGCCCAACGGCCGTCCAAACAGCGCCGATCTGTCTTGGGATCCTGTGGGTGTTGAGCACAACACCAGCTTTCGTGGCAACAAGGCCGGTGCCCGTGGATCCATGGGTGGTCCTCGCATTGAAGAGATCCCGTATGAGGAAGAAGGCCAGCAGCGCACAAATGTGCTGGCTGGCCGACCCCCCTTGGCCGCCCTGCCCCCACCCGCTATTCCACCACCGCCTGGACCGCCGCCACTGCTGGGGGCCCAGGCCCCACCGGCGCTACCTCCTTCATCCAGTGTAAGAACATCAAGCCCGGGGCCAGCTGTCGCAGGATCTGGTTCGAATTTGGCCTTGCCCGCTGCCGTGGCTGCCGCTGCGCTGGCCGGACAGTCCCGGCACTCATCCCCGAGTCCAATCCCAACGCGTCATAGCGGCGGTTCGGCTCTTGTGCCCCCCTCACCGAACGGTTCTGCAGTGTCGGCGCCCGACAACAACACGCATGCCAGCTGGGAGCCGCGTGCGCTCACCATTCGGCATTCCACATCACCGCCGGCCTCTTCTGGGCCCGTCTCAAGCCGACTTGGCTCAACCAACTTCTCGCTGCAGAGCCGCCCGCCAGCGCTGGGAGCGCCTGACCAGCGCAGGTATCGTAGTGGGCCATTGGCAGCTGCGCTCCTCAAGTCACCACCGCCACTCGAATCGCGAGATACTGGAATCAGTCTGTTGGACGTGGACAAGGCTCACGTCTCTCGGTGCGTTTTCGCGCATAGCGTGACTTGGTCACCTGGCTTCTGATTGGCAGCCAAGTGTTGTTCGTGGGGCTGATATTCATTTGTGTACACACCTGATAGGAGCATGCCTGATGTCTCGATGGGTTGGGATCGGGATGGCACGTCACCAGGGCCCGAATTTCATTCACACCCACGCACGGCCAAGGGAACGCACAGTGCATCCCCCGACCGTGCCACCATTGAACGCTCTTTGAACAATGCATTGCAGGCTCTGCGGCAGCAATCTACGCCCAAGTGTCTCAATGGTAGGTACAATGGTCCTCAACCCAATGCACGTTTGGTCACTGCGAGCGCATGCAATGGTCTGCTGCGCTTTTGGGGCGAGGGGGGGTTTGAAATCAATCCGACGCTCAGGCGTTGCTGGGTCATCGCGCACACGCGCGCTCTGCTCATTCAACGCAACTTTGCAACCTGCACAGACGTGGCCATCAATCCCTTGCGTGGAAGCTGCGTAACGGCACTTTATGATTATACGGTTGGTCTGAACTTGGCGTGTCGAGCACGCGCACCTTACTCGCACATTCCCCTGGCTGTTAGCAGTTGTTCAACTATCTCTGTCCAGCGCTTTGGCAGCTGGGTTTGCGAGCCATCAGTTCTGCCGGTTGATCATATGAACGTCTTGTCTTCTAAACTAGGCTCAAGAACCGGACGAGTTAACGATTCGCAAGGGTGAAGAGCTGATCATCATGGGTGATGGTGGCCAGATTCCGGGGCCCGCGTGGTGCTTGGTCAAGGCCGTGGCCACGGGCGAGGAAGGATTTGCCCCACGCACCTACGTGGCCCGTGAACACGGGCTGGAGCCCATCTTACCGCCACCAAGATGATGCCTTTGCGCTCCAAGAGCATGGACAATGTTTCTGATGCTTCTGGTGCGTGCGAGTGTCGAGATGCATTGCAACAAGTGTTCGAGATTGACACTCAATGTCTGGCGTGCATCTGGCGATAGGCTCGGAATATGCAACAGAGGATGACGAGGATATGACGGCCACAAATGTGTTTGAGAGTACAAGATCGCCTGGCATTGTAATCAACGAGGATGAGGAAGAGCATTTGGAATCCTTGCCGCCTTCCCACGCTGCATCGGCGGTATGTGTGAACGCCGCCTGAATCACGCATTTGCAGCCATGCTTTTCTGCTAGACTGATCGACCCCCCGCCCCCTCCCCCCCGCCCTGGGAATCTGGCGCCTCTGTCTGTCACGTTCTTCTTACCGCCGCGTTGTTTCTATCCGCCATAGCGTACATCTTCGGCCTATATGCCAGATGAGGTGATCCAGTCACAGCCATCCAAGCTCATACGGCAAAACACCTCACTTCAGGTGAGCGCGTTGCTCAGACTTCTCTCAGTCTTCGCGGGTGGAGACACTTGTTGGGGCCCCGTTTTATCGTTGACATGAGCATGGGATTCATCCGTCTTTTAGTGTTGCCGCGTGCTGACCTGATGTGAAACTGGGCCCCCATAGGAGGACACGCATAGCCACTTTGACATGAACCCCAGCTTGTTGCGGAATGCGCGAAGTGCACTCCATCACGTGGACGCCAAGTGATCTTGGTTGAGCGGTTAACCTGACCGACGGTTGCATGTGAGCATGGTGCAACGTGCTCTTTTCGGCTTTGGGAATCAAACAAAGGGGTTGCGAGAAACTCTGGCGCTTGAGCGCGGGGCGCAGCCTGAGGCTGAAGAAATTTTAATCATGTACTTTGACTCCCAAAACTTTGATCGCGACTTCAATTGTTAGAGGGGAGTGGGCAAATGCGCGTTGATGTGCGTACGAAGGGCGCTAGGCGGCGTGGCACCTTATTCCCAAAAGTGAAACACTCAACCAAAACTTAAAGGTCGTTTGTAGATCTGATTACAAATGACCGGGCTCGACAAGCTCGCTGCTACGCGAGCTGAGGCCGGACGTGAATCCTGACATGTCCACGCGCTCCCAGCCACTTTCCAAGCCATCCTCTTGGTTCAGCGGTTGGAATAGGTCTGCATCGGTCATTGCAGGGCACATGTCCAGGACCTGATTGTTGAGTCGCTGAAGTCTGGGAATAGGACCCGAAGCCACATGTAAAATCAGAGGTGAGCAGGAGCGGGGCCCCACAGCCAAACCAGTCAACGGATACTAGGCAAAGACAAAACCAAAAATAAAAATACAAAAAACGGACCTGCGGTGCCAGGTGTCGCGCTCTTCAAAGGCTTCCTCAAGTTGCTGGAGGTGGACGCGGGCTTCCTCGGACAGAATCCAATGCGCCACAGCTTGAGGCACGGCGAGTACGATGCCAGCCAAGGCAAGCTTTTTGACGGCCTCTGCTGCTGCAGAGCCAATGGTTGGGACTGCAAAAGAGCACGGATCAAAGGCAAGCTGCATCAGAAGGATGGCAAGCAAGAAGCAAGAAGGAGAGATGCGATGGCTGCAATTGAAGCAATTGACCTCACCACTTGGAACGACACCAATGTAATCGCAGCCAAGGGCTACCAAAACGAGGCCACCAGTCCATTGGAGCTGGTGAACCAGGTCCGAGTTGGCCTTGTATTGGGCACGCAGGAGGCGCTTGCGCAGAAGGGCCAGGTCTTCATAAAGATTGGCACAGTCTTGCATGCTTCGCTTGGCCATGGCCAAGGCGTCATCAAACCGGGCACACTTTATCAACCAGTTTGTCTGTAGAGCCAATGTTCAGTGAAGTCCATGGCCAACGAAACGGCGGTTCGGAAAGCCAGCGGCAAACGGCAAGCCGTCACGATTATTTTGTGGTAAGGGCTGGTAAGCCAAACACCGCTGTAAAAGGGGCATACCTGTTTCTCACGCTCGGCAAACTGGGTCAGGGTGTCTTGGAAGGACACCATGGCTGTGATGACGATGCAAGCTGCCAGTTGAGCCGGCGGGGAGTAGCACACATGTTGCAGTTGCATGTTTAGCTGAAGCACTTACCTCGATCAACATCGTCGCCATAAGCTTCGGCGGGCACCTGATCGAGGAGTAGACGCATGGAATGGGAGGCCATCCAAGCCGTGACCTTGGTGCAGATGGCAGCGCAAAGAGAGGCCGGGACCATGGAGCCCTGCTTAGCCAAGGCCTTTGTTTGCGCGTACATGCGCATGATGGCGTCGCGATACTCGGCACTGTGCATAAGAGGTCCCTTTAGGATGGCGTCCCAAGGCAGCGATTGGTGAAGATGGCTGCCATCCACATCGCCCTTGCTGGCCAGCATCATCTGGATCTCAATCTGACAAGCCTCGGGCACTTCAGAGGCCAATGCTGTGCCTATTGGGTCAACCCATGACAAAGATGCACAGAGCAGGAGGTAAAAGAGAGAAGGAATGAGGGCACGGGGGGAGCGTGCAGATGCACGCGTGGAGCAAGCCAGCCCATTGCTATGGATGTGCCCCACTTTTGCCCGTGACAAAGCGGGAACGAACCGCGATAGGCGGCGTGCTTGGGGCGCCGGTCGGCGCCCGCGTCAGTGAAGGGAGTGGGTTTGGCATTTTGATCGGCAAGATCAATGTCTTTGGCAACGCCCTCAACTGTGACGGCACCAATGACGGCGGAGATGGAGACACCGCTCTCCCGGCCACTATCTGCAACAGCACGCAGCAGCCGGTTGACGGCGGCTCCAAAAAAAGAGAGCCGCGACATGCTCGTTGGTCAAAACCAGGCTGGCTCCCGGAATCACGTCGAGGAGCCACACTTTGGCCAACTAACGCCTATGGTCGTGTGGGCGCTTTTCGCACTCGCGTATGCTACAAACGAGCTCGCCAAGGATCGGGGTGAGGTGCTGGCCCGACACACACACACACACACACACACACACACACAGAGGCAAGCACTCAACATTGCCCTCGGATTGCACCGACATGGGCACCTATAAAGGTGTTGGCCGTACCTCTTGCCAAGCGCTCACATGCAAACATCAACAAGTGGCTCCACCGAGTGCGCTCTACAAACGCACGCACGCACGCACGCACACGCACACACACACAGAGGAGGTGAAGTAAGTAGAGTTGAAACCAAGGCAAGGGGGGCGGGAGAGGGAGAGAGGGAGAGTCGCACCTTGTTGCCTGGTGCAAGTGGAGTGAAATGATGAGCTCTGCCCAAACCCAAACTGGGCGCGCCAACTTCCACAACACCTTGAGAAGCACACACGGATGGTCCATGGTCCACACATGACCGCGCGCTCAACACGGTGTACCCTAGTATATCCCCACACGTGAACACCCAAGCGGCCACACATAAACCACTAAAAATCCCAAAAGTGTCAGCCAAAATCGCCATAAACATACACATGTAAGACTGGAAGATAATATCTGACATTCGCCGCCATCTACTCCCGGTTCAAACACATGTTGTGTACAGTTTAAATACAAGTGTGATATTTGACAGAGTATCGTAACCGGGATGATGTCGGGCAACGTGCTGCACCGCCTGCAACAGCAGGTCATCAGGTACGCACGCGCTCATGCCCGCGAGTGTCGATGGCACAGCGGTCCTGGCGGGCGCGTTGCTTCAACAGCAATGACTGTCCTTGTTTTTTTGTGTTTTTCCCTCGGGGTCTACACACCTCTCTCGACGTTGTATCCCTGGGTGGTTTTCCGCGTTTTGCGTGCCCCCAATCCCTATCTGTTGCCTTTTTTTTTTCCTTGGCTTGCTCGCGGTGGCGGTCTGTTTGCCTTGATGTCCAGAATGAGCCTGTGTTTCTCATTTCGGCCCATTTTAACCTAGGCTCAAGCCTGTCATCACAAGTATCCACTGCAACTACAAGCTCAAAGGTGCGGTATTGCTGGGGAACGATCGGCACATCCCCCGCTGATTGTATTTTGCTCATCTTCATCCCCTTTGACGCTCAAATTGGCGATGTGGGTCACGGCAGGCCCGGGTCAAGCGGGCGCCCGCCACTTTGCTCGGGAACATCTCCCTGCTATCCGCTTTCACAACCCCCAGGTCAGCCCCACTTGTTTTTTTGTTCATCGGGCATGTCCTTGTGCACGCACTCGCTCACAAGAGACACCCTTTCTCACCCTTTCTCAAACACGCTTGCTCAACCACCCTACCCGCCCCCTGATGCCACACCAGATTGCCACCCTGAAAAAGGGTGACGATGCCCTTGCCGCCCAGTTGATTGTCAATGAGACTGAGATCATTGACGTGACCGGCATGCATTCCAACGACATCCTGCAAACGCTGCTCGAGCGCTATGGCGAGACGACAGATGCCAACTAGCTGGATCTTTCCGCCACCGCCCCTACCTTGTTCTCTCTCCGTGCTCTTTGCCCTCTTTTTTTTATCGCGAGGGACAGAGCATGCAACGCGCCTGTCTGGCAGAGCCCCACCTTGTCCTGTCGGCCACTCTTCGATCAGCTTGTATCTCTGTCGCCGCCGATATCAGCTCGCGTGCAACGTGGGCTCAGCTGCTTTCCCTTGAACAGCTCTGTTTTAGCTTGTTTCGTTGTTCTTTTGTTTTTCAAACCGATGCATTGTGACTGAGGGGCGCACCCGTGCATTTTGGACATGGTGACTGACCATGCCGTGGCCTTTTGAGCTTGCTCGAGGCTGACGGTTTCATGACCCTCGCGCTCTGGTGTTTCAGGCAAGTGCTTGTTCGGTGTTCATCCCTAATGTCACCCTCTTGCTCCTTACCTTGGGTCCATAGTCGTGGCATAAATTCATCAAAGTTTCGAGTGCTTTCTCTTTCCCTGTATTTTTTATCTTATTTATACTTTTTTTTTTTTTTTGCTCCACAAAACTTCCGAGTGAAGTCAATTCGTTGGCAGCACTGAGATATGCTGAGGCGCCCCTCAATGGCCGCTAGTGCGAAAGACAGTCAAGGGAGACACCAACAGAATGAAGAGAGAAGTATGCGAGCATCATGCGCAGGAGAATGGAAGGTGAGTAACGTAACACCACGAACAAAAAAAGATGAACGATGCCATGTCTCGAATAAGATTACAAAGCACAGATCGGGTTGTAGTCGGAGAAAAAGGGAGCAATAGAACAACGGATCACAAGGGGGTCGGTTAATAAAAAAAAAAAAAAAAAGGCGGGGGAGGGTGTGCATCAAGCAAGTCAGGGTCTAACCTATTCCAAGAAATCGTGCCCAGGCTTGTCCACACCAGGGTCCGATGCGGACTGGTTGGATGAACCAAACCCAAGCACGAGTCAACCACAAATATACGAGATAGCGAGGGGAAAAGTGGACAAAATACAAGACGTCATCGGCACTCAGCGTGAGGCCTCTTCGAATAAGGGATAAATAGGCGATAGCAAACTAAAGGAATGGGACGCCGCCGACAAGGCAGCCTAAACAAAATTAACCAAAAGAATACTGATAGCTCGCGAGATGCCATTGTCGATCTAACACTCGACAGAAGCGAGGATGCTGCTCAACGTGAGACAGATCCATACCATCGCGCGCGCATAAATATACCAAACGGTCAGTCTGCATGTCTGACCAGCGTGGCCTCATGCAGATGCGCAATAACAGAACAGCATTTGTAATCGAGAAGAAAGAGAGAGAGAGAGAGAGAGAGAGAGAGAGAGAGAGAGAGAGAGAGAGAGAGAGAGAGAGAGAGAGAGAGAGAGGAGAGAGAGGGAGAGATAAAGAGAGAGAGAGAGAGAGAGGGAGAGATAGAGAGGGACAGAGAGGGCTGAAGGAAGACCCAGAAAAAGCAACTGGAATAACAAAAGTCACAACGCCGAGCTCCTATGGCTGGGTTGTCTTGTCAAAGAGCATGTTTTGTTGTTGAGAGAAGAGGGCCTTGGCGATCATCGGATGCATGGGTCCCAGTGGCGTCATGACGGGCAAAACGGTCATGGTGTTGTTGAGACTGGATGGGGTTCGGGTCGCCAATGCGTCTGGCTCTCCCGAGGCCGATCGTTTTGAAGCCAGGTCACCCGAGTCAGAAGGCAGCAGGTTCGAGTCGATGTAGACAGTTGGCGTGCGCTTGCGTTGACGCACTGGCGCCGGCGCAGAAGCAGAGCTGGCCACAGACGATGCACCCGTGATGCCAGTGCTGGCTCCACTGGCCGTGTCATGCATGCCACTGCTGGGTGACGGGCTGCTGCCTGGGTCGTGCATGATGCCTTGATGGAGCGACTGGCCTCCTGAGCCATGACCATAGCCTTGCATGCTTTCGTGACCTACAAGCCGTTTAATTTGACGTGTGCCCATGTAGATTCCAGAGTGCTTGAGAACGACGGGCAGTCGTCGAAAAGCGGGGCCATGCGGATGGGGATAAAGCGATAACAGGCCAAAACTGACTGACCAGCATTGACAGTGGAGGGTCGGCGGACGCCGGCCACGAGATGATCGGCACCCTGTGAATGAAGCTTGCGAAGGATGCTGTCAGCCAGCGCATCCATGAGACTGGCACTGTGGCGAAAGTTGTCCGCGCGCTCGACCACCGTCTTATACTGTTGCGCCAGCGTGTCGGCATCTTCATGTCCGGGCAAGAGTGTCAACGAAATCAGAATGAGGTTGCCGGTGGGTTTAAAAAAAAAAGGCTTAGATCGAGGCCCCAACGTGGCTTGTGGCGTTTTAAACATCTCCGCTCCGGGCCGATCCCTGGCTCGCTTTTGAGTTGATTGTCATGATGAAGAGCCACGGCGACTGCAAACATGGCATTGGACCTACCTGGTGGATCCTCGTCACCTTGCGCGTCCTGGGGCTTGAGCAGTGGATGAAGGATGTTGGCGGTGGTGGCGATGGCAGCAATAGCACTCAAGGGCTCGCGATCAGAATCCTCCAAGCCACGTTGGAAGGTCAGCTGAGTGATGACGTCGGCTTCCTGCAAATCCTGAAGCATGCGCATGATGTCGGCTTGCGTGCGTCCGATGTGAAGATCGTTGAGGCTGTTGGCTTCGCCGTCGGTTTCATCAAAGAACTGCGTGTTGGCAGCCTGGTGGAAGTTCAAAGGGATCTCGGCCGAGTCGGGGGTGGCGTCCGAGGTGGACGTACGTCCTGGCCGTGACATTGGGCTGGAAGCGAGGCCACCCGACGGCAGTAGTACTTGAGGAGCAGTCAAACGGAGGCTCAGCCCTCACGTGTTACAAAACAAGACTTGGCTGCTGGACCAGATCTGAAATGATAAAGAGATGCCGAGCCTGGACACGGAGGGCTTGCTCTGCTCGGACAGGAGCGTGGTGGTGCGGTATCGAGGAGGTTCAACAAGCGCGAGAACGCAACTACGAGTGATCACCATGCAAAGCCAGTGTAAGCCGAAACATAAAAAAATGCAAATTGGGCATACGATCTAGGCAGTATGCCATTGGATGCCGGGCAAACAAAGAGAGGGAGAGAGAGAGAGAGATGGGGGGGGGGGGGGGGGGGGGGGGAACC